AGATCCTGAATGTCTTTTTGCTAAAGATAAAAATGTATTCAGACAGTAATTGCAACCTCTATTCTCATAAAGTTGCTTTCTCGTGAAAGTGCATCTCTTCAGAGGCAGCATGATTTACTCGTTGGCTGATAAATATGAAAATGAATTAGGGCTTTGTTGCCACAGTCTCCAGAACTCTGAACACCTGTGGATGATTCAGTGAATTTGCCAGAAAGCATGTCTTTCAGTGTCTACATCAACAAGCGGCTTCTCTTGGATCGAGTTGCTTTGTAGCCCTCGGCAGAGTTTAAATGACCCATGAAAGACAACGAGACAGACGAAAGCTTTTCTAGTGCCTGCAAGTAGTTCAATGAATTTTAATCATAGTTGTTTTACTAATCATCGTTGAAATGTATGTCTGCATTCTCTCCGTGTTTGCCTTTCAGGGATGTTTCCTCCACGGCTCTGAGGTCTCTCCCCCCTAATGGATTGAGGCAGGTTAAATTTCTGAAAGCCAGCCATGCCTATGCTCTAAAGAGCCTCCCTCCACTGGAAAGTCTAGCTGAACTGCTGGAAGCGGAGCTCACGTACCCGAGCCACTGCTGCGCCTTCCACACATGGCGGCGGAAACAAAGGTAACCGACAGATGCTCCCAGAGATTCAACAAATCCATTCACATCTGCATAAACAGTCGAAAGCTCTGTCCAGTGAATACAGATCATCAGTAGGTGGATCATTTGCACTTGAGTTTGTTGATATTTTGAGGGGTTTAACCATTTTATTCCTTTCTTTCTCTTCTTTAGGGAAAGTGCCTTAAAGAACTTGACCAAGTTTTGTGATCTGATGAATACAGAAATGTAAGTTTTTCCCTAGTCACTTAGAAAGTCTCCATTTTGTGTCTTAAACCTTGATCTTACTGGTTGCTACACATTTTGTATGTGAAGATGCTCCCTTAATATGCCAGGAGCCCAATTAAGCCAGTGTGCTTTATTTTTTTAAAAACAGTCCAAGTCTGGGAAGAAGAACAACAGCAACAGCTTGCTTCTGTTCTCCCAGAAATGTCCCAATTATACAGTTGGTGGTCAGAGGTTTACAGGCACTCATGGGTGAATACAGCATAGAATAAAATAGAAAAATAGCCCTTTGTCATTGTACAACAAAATTTTGTTTTTTTTTTGTTCTTTTTGTTTTTAGAATAGAATATGATGGTTGTTTTGGACTTTTTATTTCTTTCAACGGTTCCTTTTCCAAGGTTAAATGATTCTACAGCATACATATTTAATAACTTCAAAAAATAATAATTTGGTGCATAAGTTTGAGCATTTGAGAAAATCCAAAATAAATTAAAAAAGGGTCAAAAGTACACACACACACACACACACACACACACACACACACACACACACACCTCTAAATCTTTAAACAAGTGTTGCCGATTGTAAAACAATGTCTTTTAACCTGACGAGGCTAATTAACTTATTGTTAGTAATCATGATCGACTCCAACTGGTCATTTTTCTTTGCCAGCATAAAAATAATTTGACAGCACTCTATAGATTGACCAATACTGAGAACAAGTTATTCAGATGGATCACTGTTTTGCCAAAGTCTGGAAGAAAATCCAAAATGTCACCCTCAAATGAAAGGAAATTGATTAGGATGTTCAGAAACAACTCAGAAACCAACAAGGCTCAGGCCGACCATGAACTTGAACCTCCGGAAACAGTGGAAAAACACTGGAACACCAGTGTCACTTTCCACAATCAAGCAAGTTTCACATCACCACAAACACAAAGTGTGTCGAACAAGACAAAATCAGCACTTTCAAGGTTGGCTGAAATTTGTAGCCAAATGCCTTCTAGACAGGTTTGTAATCAGATGGGACTATCTGTCCACAATGACAAGATGTATGTTTGAGTATAAAAGGTGAAGGTTTCAAACCTAAGAACACCGCAGTAACTGTCAAACATGGTGATGGTAGCATCACACTCTGGAGCCATTCAGAATCCCTTCAAATCAACAGCTAGATGGTTGAAACATGGACAGAATTGGGTATCCCAACAGGACAACAATCCCAAACACACATCAAAACAGGTTTTTGAATCGATAAAACAGGCTAACGATACATTTCTGAAATGGCATTCCCAAAGCCCTGATCACAGCCCTATTGAAAATATGTGGACTATGCTTAAAAGACAGACAGCTATTATTTCGGGTGTATGTATATACTCTGGGTGGATTAGAGAAAATCCTAAATAGATTCAAACCTGTCATTAAAGATGTATGCTGTTCAATCATTCCACTCTGGAATCACCATGATATTCACACCCACGATGAGTGTATGTAAACTTCTGATCCCAACTGTACCACGCGTACTGTCTCTACTGTCTGTTATTCTAGGATTTTGATGCTAATTTTAACGTGTATTCTTCAGAGATCCGACTGCTGATGACACGAGTCTTATCAATGGCATCAACTTTCAGTATCCAGACCTGGAATTTGACTGTCTTAGCAACCCTTTTGTCAAATGCTCCCCAAAGCCAGATGCTTTTAATCCTTGCGAGGACCTACTGGGCTTTTCCTTCCTGCGCTGTCTCACCTGGATCATTACGGTTTTCGCTGTGGCCGGTAACCTGGCTGTTTTGGTCATCCTGCTAATTGGCCACCATAAGCTCACAGTCTCCAGGTTTCTCATGTGTAATCTGGCCTTCGCCGACCTGTGCATGGGGCTTTATCTCATCCTAATTGCCTTCATGGACTACCATTCCCGTCATGAGTACTACAATCACGCCACCAACTGGCAGACCGGTCCTGGATGTGGCATAGCAGGGTTTCTGACTGTGTTTGCCAGCGAGCTATCGGTATACACGTTGACTGTGATTAGTCTTGAACGATGGCATACCATTACCAATGCCATGCATGTCAACAAGAGGCTGCGCATGCATCATGTCACAGCCATAATGGTAGGAGGCTGGGCTTTCTCTCTGCTGGTTGCCCTGCTCCCTCTTGTGGGGGTCAGTAGTTACAGCAAAGTGAGCATCTGTCTGCCCATGGATATCAACACACTCGGCGCTCAGGTTTATGTGGTGGCTGTGCTCATTCTCAATGTTGTTGCTTTCCTGGTGGTTTGTTACTGTTACATATGCATATATCTCAGTGTTCACAACCCAGAGCACTCCACCCGGCGTGGAGACACCAAGATTGCCAAGCGCATGGCTGTGCTCATTTTCACTGACTTTCTCTGCATGGCACCGATCTCTTTCTTCGCCATCTCTGCAGCCCTGCATATGCCCCTCATAACTGTGTCTCACTCGAAAATCCTGCTCATTCTCTTCTATCCTATCAACTCCCTCTGCAATCCTTTCTTGTACACCATCTTCACACAAGCTTTCAGGAAAGACGTGCGTCTGCTGCTGAGTCGCTGTGGCTGCTGCAATTCCCACGCTGACTTCTACAGGTCACAGACTCTGGGTTCACACCTGACTTGTACCCAGAAAATGCCCAAAAGAGAACCTCACTCACTCGGCTTTTATGCCTATCACATCAAGATGAAGGGCTGCTTTCTAAATAAGGGAACCACATGACCAACCACATACACAACTGCGTAATGCACTGAAAGGCAACATCTGCCGCCTTACTAAAAATGTAGCATTTCTTCATAATGTAGATCTCATGAAAAGATTGTCAGTTGTGTGCATGGCAAGCGTCAGATCAAATTTGATCGTGTTTAGTTTGCAAACTAAAAACTGCATCAGACAAACGTAACAGGTGCCGCATCCTTCATTTCTGCAAATGTATTATGGTACATTAAAGAAGACAGATGGAGCACGGATGGCAAAATAAGCTAATTTATTTTTATTAAAGCTACTCTATATTTAATTATATTAAAAATGAAAAATATTTATTGTTTGCTTTCTATAAGACTGAGGTTTCAAGTTATTAGAAAGTAATTAAATGAAGACTGATTTTGTCAGAGATGAGTTTTGGTGCCACCTTTTGGTTTGTTGTACTCAGGACAGATTTGGATTGGAAAGTTAAAAGACTGCACACATGCAGGAGCAACTCAGTTGAACCTAGAGCCAAGACCAAATAAATGGTACTTATATTTAACCTCCTAAGACCCGAACTCTTCCACTGCATACATTTTTAATTTCTCTTTGATATTTGGGCATATTGGGACCCGATGAATGTAAAAACAAAAGAATTACCAGATTTTTCTTTTAACCTTATTTTTGTTTTTAAGAAAAGAGCCAAATATGAGGATATTCGTTTAAAACTTCGATAGAACAGTAGCAGTATAATGTCCTCGTAAGTGGATATCAGGCTCCTGTAGAGCAAAATTCAGTGATTTGGTCTACATAACCCAAAATGTGATGTCCACATATGTGGACGCCAGGTCCTAGGAGGTTAATACGTAAAATTATTTTACAATTGTTTAAATCATGTGTGCTTTTCTAAAATCTTTTTCATTTTTTCTTGATTTAGCAACAACTGTTAGGCCTACTAGTCAAGAATATTAAATGTCAGATCACCTTTTCTGTTCATGTTTTAAGAAAACTTGAATGTTTCTTAATCTGGCTTTTATGACTGAATCAATCAATGGTACACAAATGTGTTTTTGTTATAATCATTGCAAACTTTCCTGTATATTTTTTCCACTTTGTATTTCTTTCTGATATTTTACATGATTTAAAAAAGGAAAGAAAATAAATAAATACTGGACTTGTCTTTTTTTAAACCACTACTGTGAATTTTAACCACCTCATCTTGTTGTACATAATCTGTTGTTAATTTAAAAAAATACAATTGCTTAAAAAAATAATAATAACAACAATAATAATAACAATAATAATAATAATAATAAAAAAAAAATGTGTCACAGGCTTTGAAGTGGTTTTCACAGAAAGAAGAGGGCTCATTAAACGCAGCACCACAGTACAGGTCAGTATATTTGGAGCATAATTAAAGAGACGTGACAATGTTTGAAAATCAAACATCACGTTTGTTATCCTCAAACAATCATTGGAGGTCAAATAAAAGGTTTACTCTGCTTGTAAAGAATATTTTCACAAAGTGCAATACAACATAAATCCATGCTGTTTGACTCAGTAAACAGTATTTATAAGGAATGCTTTATACAACTGGATGATATAAGTGACTTGTAGCATTGCTCTGATGATTATCACCAATCTGGCACAGTAGTCACAAACTGCTCTGTGAGCCACATTACTACAACTAAGAATTTTTCATTCATTTTTAAATGATAGTTTCTCTTTCCCTGATCTGTTCAGGGGGACTAAGGTTCATTACCACTCTGCTTCCCCAACTGCTTTCGAAAACACGTAGTCCCTGCCGCCGTAGCACATCACTCCGTCCTTCAGGTGAAACTTCCAACGGTTCTTACTGCGGTGAATCTGCAAAATGCAAAAGCAGTGAGTACAATATTCAGTTAAAATTCAGCACTGGGCTTTGATGAGGTGAAATTAATGGCTAATAAAAAGACAGCAGTTCTTACTTTGTCATACTGGCAAACAATGACATTGTCAGTGTCAAAAAGGTCGGGGATGTCTTGCTCAATCACATCGTCACCTGAATTCAGAGGGTCCTAATCAACAGTTTGCGCAATGGAGGAAACAAATAGTCAAGTTATGCAATCAAGATATGCTCTTCGGAAAACCACCTGCAAAAATATAACTGAAAAATGTAATTTTAGGGAGAAATGCACAAATCTACTGGAGCTCTCCAAAGAAAGTTTTCTTTTAATGGAAAGAAATAAGCCATGACTCATGAAAATGCATTTCAAACTCACTCTCTCACCTCCTCCTCTATGTTAGCGAGTTCATCTGCACCTTCACCGTCGCTGCTGGAGGAGATGCTGTTGCCATCACTGCTTTCATTTCCTTCCTGCAGGGCCTTCATGGCCTCTGCATTGATTATACCCAGAAAGTCATTCTCTTCCAGGGGAACCTCCTCTTCCTCCTCGAGGTCAGAGTTGCCTGCAGGCCCATCGAGCTGAACGATGTCTGAGAACTGGCTGTAGCCCAGATCCAACTGAGAATGAATTGCAAGAAGAAACATCACAGTTATGAATTCGGAGAAATCAAGCTTATAAAAGGGAGCAACTGTCCTAATAAAATGACTATTGCTTCAGTAATTTAATATCAGAAACATAAAATGTCTCAAATTGACAGCACAGCAATCTGTGTTGTACCGCTAATGAATTTAAGATACGAATGCAGACTATGTTGATGATTTAGAAGCTTTGGGGAGAGGCTGATAAACTTGATGCTACCTGAATCCAGATGTTAAAATACAAGGTAAACCATTATTTCAAATTAAGGAAAATGGCACTCTAAAATCTGTCTTTTAAAAGTTCAAAAATATTGATCAGATCTACCAGAAAAACATTTTTTGAGTCTCTCTTGTGGGTCAAGCATCCTAAATACTACAACTGTTACAGCCCTCTCCAGCTTACAAATAGCTATATCTTAAACTTTTCACCACTTTATTAAATCACTTAAAGTGCTCCTAAGAGTCTGATATTTTGTACACATTCCCCCCTTTTTGATTTCATGTGGCAGTACTTTGTGCCAGCCCATTAAATGTTACATAAAAACAGCATAAAGCTGCAGCTGTAGTCAAGCCTATATGCCTTATCCAGCATACAGAGTGATGAGTGCATTTCCCAAAATGTAGAACTACTCTTTAGACAATACACATCCACACTTCAATGACCTGATCTTTTCTATGCCTTAAAGTGATATTTGCTATATTAGACTGAGAATTCTTTCCAAATTACCCCAAGAGTCGCTTCAGACTGGCTGTCAGACTCCACAGGAGCTAGCTTCCTTGCCCATTCTGCTTTTTCTCTCTCCTCCTCAATAACTTCTTTCAGGATGTCATCAATGTCTCTGCTCTGAGCCATCTGTGCCAGAGCCTCCTCTCTTCTGATCTGGTAGTCTAATAACTGAGTGCAAGGTGAGGCGGTCGTGCTGAGGTTGGGTTGTGGATTTGGCTCATTTTCTTCCTGTGGGAAATCTGGCTCTGTAGACTGCAGGGGAAGGCTGCCCTCCTTACTGGAGGGTAAAATGGTCTTTGGCTGTGTGACAGACTGAGCTGGAACAGAGGATGTTTCTACCTCGTGGGGAGCAATAGGATTTGGTGGGATTGCAGTGGGCTGGGGGGCAGAAGCCTCCCTCCATTCAGTGACTTTCTGCATGGCTTGGGTTGCAGGCTGCTGACCCACTGGGGCCTGCGTAACCACAACAGGAACATTGACCTTGTAAAGTTGACCTTAGTGAGGTGATACAAAAGAGTGAAATGTTATTTTGAGAAGCCTGGCCAGGCTGGAAATAAAAACTGATTTAAGCTGTAAAGTCATTCCATACCAGAGGCTGTTTGTAGAGTGACTCCTGCTGGTATCTGCACGGGGTAAGCCAATCCAGCAGGGAGGGAAAAGGTAGCAAGTGTCTCTGAATTGTTCTGAAATAAAACATTATGTTGTGAGGAAAATACAAGACTAAGTATATTAAATACCAGCTTTTGTACAATCACCTCCAAAATATAGACTTAATAATTATACACTGCGAGTCTTATCTCTTGAAGTAACTAACGAATACTGAGGTTTGCCTCATTATAAAACCACCTGCAGTTGTGGTCAAAAGTTTACCAAGACTCATCATGGGCATAAATATAGTAATTCAGGGCTTTCAGTGATTTCTATGAACTGTTCTTTTTCCAGGTTAGATGATTGAACAGCAGGGTCACACACAGGGTCCAGCAAAACAGTCCCAGAGCATGATACCACCACCACGCTTGACAGCTCACATGGAGTTCTTAGGAGTTTTTCCTATCTGACTGTGACAGTTTGGGTCTTCTTTCAGGCCTTGGAAAAGTAGTGATGCATCCAGGTAACTTGTATTTGCGTACAGTTGTTTGAACTGATGATCTTGGAATCTGAGGTTGTTGAGAAACAGCTCCAGGAGACCTTCAGACTTTCCCCATCTTGTGTAAATCTACAGTTCTCTTTTTTAGATCTTTACCGAGTTCCTTGGACTTTTCTGAGAATTTGTCAGTGAAGTGGAAATCATTTCAATACTCAAAAAGAGGAACTGTGATAACTAATGAGAAGGGTTTTTTGGTTTTCAAATTTAGACATAAAAATAAAAGAATTCAGCTTAAGAAAAATAACAATTCAATCATTACAATTTAGATACATTACATTAATAGAACTTTATTATGAAAAACCAAACATGTCATCCAAATGAGAAAACTATATTCAGAGGCTGTCAAACTAAAAATATTTTAGGGTGTGTCTGCAGAATCATGTTATAAAAGGTGGAGATAGGCAGCGGAAGAACAAACCAAATATTGGTGCCAGTATGATTGCCTTCTTTCATGGTGCAAGATAAGACCTTGGAGGACTGCCTTTCTGAGTGCCTTTCAAGTCATGTGCATCCCTCATGCAAGTAATTATTACACGTTATGGAGGTGATGTAAATCTCAATCACACTTGCCTTGACCGGGAAGCTGCGGATATTTTGATTTCCAGGGATGACAACTGAGGCTGAAAGAAATATTACCAAAAAAGTGAGTAATTTTGGCTATTGTGTACATATTAGTACAAAAAGCCATTCAAATTAAATTTATTGACCTTTGTCTTCATTTAAGATCCCCCCCCCGTAATATTCAAGGCACAAAGCTTGCAGCTGTATTAATTACAAGAAGAGTTAAGGTGCTTCTTTTGTTGGTGAGCAATTTAAGCTTACCCGTGAGCTCTTGATCACTCTGAGTGTAGCTGGCAGGAAGCTGGAGCACAAAGTTGGATGGGTTGGCGTTTTTCCTTAAGCCTTCCATTGCTTTTGACTGCATCACTTTTGACTCCCAGAGCTGAACAGCAGAAGACACAGCAGTATGTCTTCCAGGTATGGTGCACACTCCCTCACTAGATGGATTAACTTTGCTGTCACTGACAACTTGAGTCAAGAGTGCATTATATTTATGCTTTTAGGAAATAATAAATAGCAGTAGTAGTGCAGGGTTATTTAAACTCACATGTCTTAAATCATCCAGGACGCGGTCTTCAACTCCTTCATCCAAGAAGAGTTCTCTCACGCTGTCAATCACGTCATCGATTATGGACAAGTAGAGCTTGGCCTGAAGTTGTTTACGAAAGAGCAAGTCAGAAGGTGTCGGTGGCTAAAAATCCTTCACAGAAACTAGTTGTTATGAAAACATCCATAACAAGTCAAAAACGGTTGTTTTCTGTGCCTCAGTGCTGGAAAATATAGACCCGAGGTGGTTTTCTAAGGATATCAACGCCACTCTTCAATCCGGGTGACATAAACAGGCGAGATAAATCTGCCATTTGCCATAACAAACGCACTATTGCACATCTTACTGAGCATCCCTGCAGATATAGTCAAGTAAAAAAATAATAATAGTAAAACAATATTATGAGCAGGCTTCTTATTGGACAAAAACCTAGCTGATCTTAACTGCCTTTTGTTTGTTGAGCGCATTAATCTAACTCACAGTTCGCGATCAGTTCGACCCGATTAACTAAAACGTTTCCGTTTCTTACCACTGGGCCTGTGTCGGTCAGCATCCTTGGAGAATGACTGGGGAACTTTCACACTAGACTTCTACCCATTTGGAAACATAATAGACAATTAACTGTGATTAAGTCGCATTGTTTTACACGAGGCATACACGCGCAGGTGACCGCAATCAGCATCAGGCGCGCAGACAGGTGCGTTAGCACGTGAGGTTTCTTTTTTGTTTTTCCCAGGAGGGGAAAGTGATTGATTTAAAATGTGATTTCAGGTTCTTGCTTCAAACAAGATGAAGGTTCAGGGCTTCCTAAGTGCACTTGTCATATTAGAGGTTTATTTCAGTGGAGGTTTGGGTTGAGGGGCTGGTGGCTGCTGGACCTCAAATAGCATGTTTTATGGCAACAACTCTAAAATCTGAGCACACAAGTCCTGTGATCTAAGATTAAATGGGAGAGGTGACTTAACTTGTCAGAAGTCCCTTAAATATCCCTGTCCAGCACTAATAACCTCTTCTTTCTCTAGTTTCCTGGTTACTTTCAGTAGAAAAGTTACACAGCTGGCACAGTGCTGGGAAATCAGTGCACTTTTCCTGATCCCAGGAGTGCACAATGCCGGTAGTTAAAAATATTCCATCCTTTACAAAACACTGTTTGAACTTGGTGTTCAATAGATTCAGAGCAGCAGCGGGAGCCGTGACCCCTGCTTCTTGCAAGTTGTCTGTTTTGGCGATGCTGGGACTCTTTCAACAGTGTTGGTTGACAGCTCTGATGAGGATGAGAGCGATGCAGCTGAAAAGCAGCAACACGAGACACCCTTGTGGATACTGCAGTTGCTGGAAGTAAACAGGCGGTTTAGCTGTCACTTCACTACAAAGCTACTGTGGACTCGCATAGAGCCCTCACCTGAACTGGAAGAAAATAAAGGCCCTGTTTCCACATTGATATGAGGCAGTGCTGCATTAGCTCTCCGATGAGCTTTTTTTTTTTTTTTTTTTTTTTAACCTTAGACAAAGAAAGTATGGGGTAATTTAAACTTGAGACTGGATTTATTCAGTGGAAAACCTTTATTCAGGCAGGCCGTGTTGTGACGGTTAAACAATGCTCAGTTGGTACTAAGGGATCCAAAGTGTGCCAATGAAATAAAAACATACCATGACACCACAAACACCTCCTCTGCACCCATGCAGACTCCTCAGACCATGCAAAGTTTTTCCAATCTTCTGTTGAACCTGTGAAAATTGTACTCTCAACTTCCTGTCCTTAGCTGACAGGAGTAGTACCTGGAATGGTCTTCTGCGTTCATCCACTAATTGCAAGGAGCTTGGTAGTTTGATCTGTGGCTGATCCAGTGTGAGATACTTAAGCCCAAGTTGTTCTCCACATGTTCATCAGCATGTGAATGAGCTTAATAATATAAAGTGCTTTGAAGCACAGGCAAAGTAGAAAAGCACATTTTAAGATCCAGTCCATTCACCATTCTTCTGCACATCTTGGTTGTAAATAGTCGTTAATTTAGATGCTGTTGCCTTCTTATCAAAGAATGGGGCAATTCTTCCTCGACCTGTGGTATCAACAAACCATATTGACCCAGGGAACTGCCACTCACTTTTTTAGACCATTTTCTATGAACTCCAGAGATGGTTTTATAGAAAAATCTCACTAGATCAGCGGTTTGTGAACTATTCAGAGCAGCTCGTCTGGCACCAACAACCGTACCACATTCAAAGTCACATAAATCACCTTGCTTAGTGTGAACATGCCTCAGCACACGGAGTTGCTGTCATGCGATTGGCTTAGACATTTGGATTAAGGAGTTGAACAATTGTACCTAACAAAGAGAGTGTATATTTTAAGACTATACTTAAGAGTTATGATTGTCAGTGACAAAATTTGTAAAAAAAAAAAAAATCATAACTGGACTTTAAGTGTTGCTGAAGGGCAGTAAAACTCATTTTACAGATTTAAGAAGAACACGTTTTCTTTTAAAGAGGGAGAGACTTAATAGATTGCATGTTGAGGCATTGGTTGAGAATGACTCATAAACACAGATGCCCTTATAAAACATACTGCACAATAAAACACCAGCAGTGTAGTGAAACAATACTGAAACTTACTGACTTCTCTGTCTGTACCGGCGTTCTGAGCAACTTCATGCAGCTGCCTGCAGCAGTTTATCATGGCCTACAAATCATACGTCTCAGCAAAAGCCTGCAGTGATGGGAAGCATTTAATTTTCACACTGTTTTGAATCTTAGTGAGGTGCAGGTTTATAACTGCTCTGCCCCCGTGTTGAGTAAATTACCAAGTGTGGAGAAAAAACGAGTGCGAGATAACAGCTGTGAAAGAAGTACTACCATGACTCATTCTGGTTTAATTGCTTTTTCTTTTTTACTTTTGATGTATATAATATCCAGCTTAAGCCAGGTACTTCATACATAAAAGTTATCAATAAACACCTTTTTGTTCAGTATGGCCCTTCACCCCTTTTTTTTATTATCATATATAAACCCGATTCACAACCCAGAGAGCAGAAAGATACAGAATTGATTTGTTTAAATAAAATTACAGTCCTCCAACACAACACAACCTCAGTATAAAGTCAAAGGGTCCGCTCAAGATAAACAATACTTTTGTTGCTTGAGACAAAAAGAAATCTCACTTTATATATTATCAGTACCCAATATATGTTGTGATGTTACCTAAACATCACCATTCTTTAAACACAACGATCCAACATTTTCGTGCCATTTCCACAAAGATTTTGTACAAATAAAAAAAATTCAAAGTGTGCCAACTTTAAATATAGATGGACAACACAGTAGCACCACCCGTAGCATCGGTTGATATTTAACCTCTCTGTAAAGTAATGATCTCAAAAGGCCATTACTTAAGTTGCTTATGTTACACAACGTGTTTGGCGTGCATTTATTAATTGATGTTGATAATTCTGGAGGACAGTGCAGATATTGCAGATGCAAGCATAATCGTATAAGCTGTAAATCTCATACAATTTATAAATCTATTAAATGTAAAGTGCTAGGTATAAGGACTGTGTTAAATTGTTTATTAGGGCTAAACAAGTTCAGTCTCAGTTAAAGGATATAAAAATCATAGAACCTCCATCAGAAATGCTACCAAGCTGCATGATTTTATGAATTCTAAAACCAGATATAAGCAGAAAGTCTCGCTTCACCCTGTTATTTTTAATATCCCTTCACCTTTAAGAAGATTTTGAAAAACATTTTATAGGAATAACTTCCTCTACTAAGTGTCTTTAATCATCATTGCGTCATACAGCCAGACTGCCTCTGTGACTCTGTTTCAATCCATTTCTTTTCCACTTCCACCTAAGAAAAGAAAGAAAGAAAAAAGTTAGTTCCAATAAATTAAAAAAAAAAAAAAAATCGATCCACAATTAAGCACAGATGAAGATATTTTTATTTTTCCGTTGAAGCATCTCACCTGACAGTGATAGCGCGTCCAACTGGTCACATGTTTCTGCGGCTGGATGTCATTCACAGTGCCCAAGGATTTAACCCTGGTCTGTGACACAACCGCGCCCACAATTTCACATTCCATCGTGACAAAAGGGTACCAGTCATTTGGGATCTCCTGATCAGATCCCAGCTCCAGTTTGCAGGAAAATGAGTGGGGATGATCCAAGGCTGCAAAGCAGGAAAGAAAGGTCACTTGCAGCTGTCGTCGTACATCACAGCACGACAAACATACTGTGCATAGGCAGGAAGAGGCAAGAGTAAAAAGCAGTATGAGAAAAGGATGTGTAAGGCTAAATGTTAAGGGGCACCTATCATGCTCCTCATTATTTCTGTCACTTATGTACTGTTACAGTAGTCTCAGATTAAACATGGCTACACTTTCAAATAATTAGGTCAATGTATGTGTAAAGCTTCAGACTGCACCAAATACTCTTTTTAACTGGTGTCCTGTCTCTTGTCTCACAGAGCCCTGGCTGTGGACATTAAAGTTAAAGCTGCTGTTCAAACCTTCTGTTTACAAGGAGCAGCCAATCATAAGAAAGCTAGCTAAAAAGGGTCGGAAACAGCATGTTTCAGACTTTGCACCAATGAAGCATGTAATCACAGAAAACTATCCAAATTGACAGAGCTTAAAACTATATACAGCTGGAAAAGTGCAACAGGTTCCTTTTTGACCTGTCATAAGCATTACCCATATTCTTTGCAGGCAGTCTGTCGATCTTCCACACGATCGCCGAATATACATTCTCGTACTTGACGGTGCCGATCGACACCTGCATGACAGGCTGTGAATCTGCAGCGGTGACTGAGCCCAAGCAGGCATTTCTGTTCATGCGGGCCTTTAAAGACCTCTGTCGCAGTAAGGCCACCGTCTGTGTCACTTTGACCCAGTCGCCTGGCACCGGAACGCGGATCACAACATTCTCACACAGCGGGTAGTGAGTGTCAGACTCCCTCATGCAAGAAAGGAACGTGGTTGACATGTTGAGAAAAGCCTGGAGCTCCACGTAGGCACCTTGAACCGTTACCGTAGCTTTGATTGAGAAGGGAATTTCAGTGCAACCAAGGACCCTTGTTTTGTAGCGCATCAGCTCCACTCTGCATGCATCAGGAGGCAAAAACTTGATCAGTCGCGACCTCTGAAACTCCATCTTGTTCACGCATTTGTGGAAATGGTAGCCTGCAATCTCCATCCAGAGTTCACTGCCCTCCTCTGAGCCATAGCTGGAGTCAAAGTGCAGCAACCCGAGGTCATTAAGGGCAAGAAAACAGTCTCCTAGTCCGTTCAGAAAAGCAAGACAGTGAATCTGGGTGAAGGCTGTTTGCTCCATTACGCCCCCACACTTATCTAGCTGTATCCAGATGTGATCGGTGATCTGCAGCGACAGCTCCTGTTCCTCGTAGTGCCGCCTCTGCTGGTGGGGGACACTCAGTTTGAAGATCTCCTCCTCCATGGAGACCACCAGGTCCTCGATCTCATCGTGCACTGTGGAGCCAAACTTGAGGAGCTGCTCTACCTCAGCTTCGTGACTAACCTCGAACTTTGGGTGAAAGCGCTTCTTTTCTGTGTAGGAGAAATGTTCCACCTTGACTGTGAGGACTTTGCGGGGCTCGCTGTAGCTTTCCAGTTTAAGATCCGAGAGCCTGCAGTGAGGGAGAAGCTGAAATTCTTTGAATGGCTTCTCAAGCCCTTTCTCATAGAACATCTGTAGCACACCTCCCGGCAACAAGCGGAGATAGATCGGTCCCCACTGACGCGAGGACATGCGGTTCTTTTTTTCAGGAATCCTGAGCATGATAGACCAACCGTCTCTCTTCTGACTACGAAACAAACCGCGAGGTGCAAACTGAGATGTACCTTCACTTAACACCTCACTTTTGCAACTTAGCCGCCTCTGCTCTTCTTTGTCTGTCTCTGTCTGGCTGTCGGTTTTTGTATGTAGGCCTTCCAGTTTGTTGCAAACAACAGAGAAGGAAAGCTGGTCACGCTGAGGCTCACTGCCATCTTTGGTCCGTATAAAAAAACGTGGAAGGCTGTTGTCCGATTCAGAGTCTGAGGAGGAGCTACCCGCATCCGTATTTAGTTTAGGTCCATCCCAGAACGGGTTAAAGTGTCCTGAATTACCCTTGAAAGAAGGGAAAGGGCTTGGCCCATCTGATGTTTGATTCAGGGCCTGTGGTGCAGGAGAGAAAACAGAGGTGGTAACTGGGCTGGAAAAACTCCTTGAGAAGTCCTTCTTGTCCCATGTTTTGGAGTAAAATGGTGACGCGCTGCTAGGAACCCCACCTTCAGGAGTGCTAAACGGTGTGCTACATGGTACACAGGAACTTCCGCTAAGACTTGAGTGACTTTGAGGCGATTCCAGGGAACTACTAAAGCTCCAGGAAGTATCTTTGATTGGAGGAAGCACTAATTTCAGGCCGTTGGGACGCGGCACTGATGCTTTGATGAGTCCTGGGGACTGCAGAGGTTTCTGAGGTGACGATAGCGGTGTGCTGTCATCTTCAAACGTGACCCAGTTTGAGTGATTTGTGGAGCACATGGCCAAAGAGGTCTGCAGACCGGTTCAAAACGACAGCTCCTCCTTTGTTGGATTAACTGTCCCCCGAATTCAAAAGTCTTCTTCTCTGTTAGAAGAAAAAGAAAGAAGAATGAGACACTATTGACCCAAGTTCAAATGTAAAACTAATTTAGATCAAATCTCTAAAGTCAGCTCCCATCTCAAAGCACGAACAACTGAAACGTTTGCTATCGGTACAAGAGAGAGCCCTCGAGGACATAAATAAAACATGTCTTTAAAGTACTCCATTAAAGCTTAATCAACACCTGACCCGGAACAAGTTCATTTCTTTTTTCTCTATTACAATTACCTAAGGTTCGCTGACGTGACAGCTGAATAAGCATTCTGCAGCCCAGTGTTGGCGAAGAGGGAGTCGAGTTTCTCACACCACAGATTTATTTTTTTTATAGACATTTATTAACTGGAAACTCTCTGAAGTAATTCCATCATAGAACATGAAAACTCATTCCCGGAGTTTTATCTTTTAGCTATAAAGATGAGGGTTAAAGGAATGGTGACAGGAGACTGCAGGGAATTCTTGCACTGACAGATTCGTCTTTACACCGGTAATTGTAACAGGGATTTCATGCATGTTTATGCAACTTTAATAAACTCACTCACTCTCACACATAGACCACCTCCTTCATTTAGATCAGTTGTGCAAGCAATACAAGAAATGATACAGTCTTTATTCTTCTAACAATATCCCAATACAAAGTGTGAGCCTGAGAAATGGGTGAAGAAATCTGTTCTTCTTAGTCAAAATAGCAAGACTTTGGAAAGCTGTCGATGCAAACCAAACACTGCATCGCAGTTTCTCAAAGGATTTTTAGAATCTCTCTCTCTGTAGCTCAGAATTTTTTTTAAATGCACAGAGGATAAAGCAAAAGACTTCAGAGATGTGGCAGTTCAAAGCTGCTGCAATGTAAAAAGGTGTATTTTAGACCTGCTGTGCTGTCTAAATATTTCAAAGCCAGCGTGCTCCAAATTGCGTGGGAGAAAAGTTAGCCATGGCAGAAAAAGTCCAGCCTCGTTAAAAAACCATGAGGTCAGATGAGAGAAGCAGGTACACTGGGGCTCATCTAGTTCCACACGAGGCTTCAAAAAGGGACAAAGTGTGCATGGCATCTTTATGGTGGATGGTATTTTAATATATGAATGAGATATTGAAAAAGTATGGCGATATTGCTAAACAGGAATGACGTTCAGGCTAATCTGCCAGTGGTTAGCGAGTAAACATGTTGTAATCTTTATGCGATCTCGCAGTTAATTTTCCAGCTACTCAATCACAATCTGCCTTTTGATGCGCTGGCAGTTCAGCTCTCAGTAATATCCGGCTCAGTGAAGCCCCCTTACAAAATACAGACGCTTCATCTTCCCATAAAAAAAGGGGGACAGAAAGCCTCAATTACAGGCTCCCTCTGCGCTCCAAGACGCAGCCATGACTTGCATGGAGGAGACATGGAGTGGAAAGTTCCTCTTGCTACAAATAAACATGGAAGTGTGTGTGTGAGTAAGGGAGGGTGTTCTGATTCAGAAGAGTGGACTGACAACTCCTCAGTCAAACAGTGAAGAACATCTTTCTAATGAGAGGATGTTTGCGAGGTTTTACGCAGACGTTTCCACGAGCTCATCCGTCTCTTCAACTTATAGAATCCATCTGCTTCGATTCACAGAGGAGGAGGAAATCTCCACAGGGGGTTACTGACAGTCTTTCAAACTCATTTCCAAGCCAGCCATCTCTTCCTGGGCTCTCCAGCAGGCAATGCAGAAATGAGACTCTGCTAAATCAACAGAGGACAAAAGAATACATTCCACACATTCCTCTGGGACAAGCCGCTTTGCACACAGGAAATAGCAGGCTGCTGTATTCGTGTGAACTGACAACAAATATTATCTTAATGTCAGTTTATCACACTTCAAAAATCCACCAGTTCTACAGGTCATAAATTTGGATTGGTCTGATTATTTATTACTGCCAAAGCGCAGCGAAAAGAGACTGGGGATTAAGAGAGCCTTATGAAACTAATTATGTACTTTAAAAACAAAAACAAGTCGGAACTACCATGAGGATTTTTACACTGACTTATTATTGTTTCGAGACTTAAGATGACCTCATCAGATTTCTACCAGCTAAAAACCAATGCAAAGTTAAGACCTGTAATTCTGCCGGGCAACGTCAGGCTCCCTGTACAGGTTGGTTTGCATTTAAATTACAGCTCTGCAGTTATGACAAACAGCCAACAAAGACCATCCGGCTTCTCAAGTTTATCATTACTGATCATTACTGTAGTTATTTAAATTGCTTGCTAAACCAAGGGTAGGCAAAAAAAAAAAAAAAAGTTGCACACCTCACAGTCATTAACAAGGTCTAATGCTGCTTAACCACAGCTATTTGGCCTCGCTAGTTGCTGAAAATGTAAGCTTTAAAAGGCGCCAGTCGTGCAGAGCATTTTGATATTGGTTTTTTCAAAACTGCATGGGAGGATGAATACACGCGCTAACAGATCAGCTGGCAGATAGTGGAAAAATTAAGCATGGAGCATGAGAACATGCAATCCACAAAGGGGAACAGCCATGAAACAACTGAAAATAGTATTGCTTATATGGTTAATTACTGATAAATGATGACTGAGTGGAAAGTCTTGTGGTTCAACAAAACTGCTGAATTTGAAAAAACAAATACACACACACACACACACACACACACACACACACACACACACACACACCAGGGCTTGAACTCAGCAGACAGATGCTTCCTGATTAAAGAAGACACTTTCCTGCTGGATTCTCTGGCCACTTCCTGTACATTCACACCACAGCCTGGAATATTTTTCCTTCGAAATAAAACTTGTATATATAAATAAACAAAATAAGACACTTTAAAATGAGAGGGCAGGTTGCTACCATTGTAACCACAATGAGAGCATGGACTAGTGCAGAGCTGAAAATGTGATGACCCATTTCCAGTGGCAGCAGTGGCATCGTGTGCAAAGTGAGCTCCCATTAACACAAAGCACAGGAGTGAGTGTGGGTGCCGCAGCTCTTTTTGTCTCCTCACACGTTGAATGAATCGGCGTTATGTTAGTTATACACTTTAATCCCGGGATTCCCTGCCGCATTTATTGTGGAAATTTGTTCCAGTTCAGACAAGCATGACTGGGAACAGAATGAGGAGGAATGAATGGGGGGATGTTTGTGGATGTAGTTTACTCATTTAATTATGCTTTCCTTTCATCTGGAATGAAGGGATAAACTATTATAAACTTGTGCTTAATGTATGAAAACAAATAATAGAATAAATTAAAATGTATAGATATTAGTTCTAGTACACAGGGGGTTTAAGCTGCAGTCTCTAGTACAGGGTTGACAAACATAAGCCCCACAGGCCAGAGTTGACCTGGAAAATACTCAAATCTATCCCACTGAACCGCTTTGGAAAATGTAAAAGACAGCATACATTTTGAACTTTTTTTTAAACTGCATTTTCATTGGTTTTACAGCTTTTCCTACTGATAATGACCCCCTCCATTACTCCTAAGTAATGAATAAACCACTTAATAAAGGAAAAAACCCATCCCCCCCTCACAATCTACTATAGAAATTTCACAGTGAGTCCACAAGGAAACAAATACTGTGAATTAACAAAAACTTTCTGAGCAAAAGCAACCAAAACCTTTTATTTAATTTTACACCTTCATTTCTTACACGTAAGCCCAAAAAGACATGCTAACAGATGCCTTTCATTACCTAGAGCAGCATTTTTTTTCCTCAATCTGGCATGTCCTGTTTAAACTGCTCTTCTTATTCTTACATTAAAATATCTCAGAGATTAAATGTATAGTTAAACAGTTTCTTTCCCCTTCAAATCAAAGTGGGCTGTATGTGGCTTACATTGTAAAATGAGTTGGAAATCCCTCTACCAAGTACATTTCACTTGTCCAAATGCATTTATTTTTATAAATTGTACTTATGTAACAAAATTAAACGGGAAGATTTACATGTAATCAAAATACTTGTAAAATGAGTTTAACATTCCTGCTGTAGCAGCTTTGATTGCTACTAGAGGATGTTATCTAATGTTAGTAGACTATGATTGGGCTACTTTACTGTCTTTATGACTCTCGCACTGGTCTCTTTACTGCTAAAGTGGCTACAGTCCAGCAAAAGTTACACAATCTCACATTTAGCCATACTTATTAAAAGTTTACTGTATTAAAAAAAGGCTACACATTTCCTATTAATATCATCTACATGCGCAGATAAACTGTATGCCTCCTGTTAAATCACACTTATTTGATACACTGTTTCATTGTCACACCCAGCGCGCGGTCAGTTGGCTGCCAGACACAAACACTAGTTGCTGGAAAACAACATTTCTTTTCGTCCCATGGCAACTCAAGACTGGACACACAAAACAGTACCAAGCATGCTGTCATCCACAACAGAGCCAGCCCCGCGTCCCGGACAGAGAGGCCCAATCCTGGGATAAAGCTCCGCGCCTTTTGTTTTGACGCACGAGCTCGAAGGAGTAAAGTTGTCACCCTGAGTTTACTTTTATCGTGCTCTGGCTTTGCGCACTTTTAGGTGAGCACCACACGCGCCAGTCACTCTCGACCGAGCGACGACACGACAGCACACCGGGTCGACACTTACAAAAAAAAAAAAAGAGTACACTAAAACAGTTTATTTGGTTTTTACAACGTGACCTGAACTAAACACAGCTCCCTGAGTGCAAGCGAAAAGGAAAACATACTCACAAACTTAGCAGCAGCAGTGACTAATTCAGGCCATGACTTTTTGTTGCTTTGTTTTTTTTTTGTTTGTTTTTTGATGGACACGTCTGAACTCCGACGTCGGCCCGGTCCTGATCAAAATGGCAGAGTGTAAATCCTGGGAGTTTGCACAGCCTAGCGCTTCCCCCTCCCGAGTTCAGACTGATGGTTGTCCTCCGACGGGACACTGTGGGACTGAACACAGCAGTGCTGCGTTCACTGCGGTGGGACACATCAGAATATTGGCTATTTCTGGACATACGTTAACTTACTAAGTTCATATTTCGACAAATTAATGTTAATATGCTCACTCAGTAACTATCAGAGTTCAGATACGGTTGACAATGTTTCAAAGCTAACCATAAACATAGCACCCAACTGCCACATTTATATAAAGTGTGTCATTACAACCTTTGGCCTTGTGATAGTTATTCAGTTTAGCAAAAGATTAAAAAAATAATTTTAAAAAAGAAGAAAAGACAAGTTGATCATTATTTCATCACACACAAAAAGAGAATCTCGTCTGCCCTTTCACCGCTGTTTACAAAACAAAAGCACGTAAAAACTTAAGTTGTATAAAACACACAACTTCAAGCAGGGTGTTTAAATCGCCTAACTTTACAGTAATATAAATGCCTTTGGTATTATGTATAGTAATTCTGCAGCCTATACAAACTTCTTATTAGAGCTACTGTACTCTTCAGTCATGTACCAAGAGTACTTGAAAGCATCGCGAATTTCTATAAAACGACGTTTTTCTTTTCAAAACAAGTGACGGCATCAGAAACTGCTCTTCTAGTCCCCACATGTCTGTGCCTCATTTCCCAGTAGTTTGGGTGTGTTAGCGGCTGCTTTTTCGCCTTTTTAAATTATACACAACTTACAATTCCCAGTCTCCCTCACCCCCCATAAACGCAGCAGGTAAAGTTGGGTCAATTTTAGGAGTGATTAATAACCAAGTGACTCTAAATACATGACACATTTATGTTTTGAGCAAGCTCTTTATTTTGCGTCACATATTTGATGTGTGCTTTTCAACAAGTTACAATGTGAGAATACAAGTTTCTTGCTTTTTTTTTTTTTTTAATATGTTTAGAGGGCGTTGGCAAACCTGTCAGATCAAAGGTCTGCTGGTCTGCTGGCAGCTGTAGACTGGCAAACAAAAGGATTTAAATGAACTGCTCACAATCACTTCTGGGCTTTTCTTCCTTTTACCTCATGTAAGTACAATTTTAGTGTAAACTTTAACTGCCCTCTGCCATGACTCAAAAGTTTTCTGAACACCAGTTCCAGTGTGGGCCGATCCCTCTGCGATACATCTCTGTATTGTAGCCTTAGACGAGACACACACTAAACTAGCCACAGATGTCAGTTTGTAAAATTTGTGGAAAATAAAAGTTTTTTAACCTCTGAATAAATGCCTCTTGTATATAGGCCTATATCATTTTTTACTCATTGTACAGTACAATTACATGATTTTAAATGAGGTTATATTCACATAAACCCTTTTTTATCCACACGTCGTACAACGTCGCGAGACTGCCGTTCCCCGCCAGGCTTCTGAGTGCACATCCGCACTTACTTTGGTGATAAAAATGACTTGTTACAGCATAATTTCACAGAGATAAATTGACATCATTTCACAAGCTCCAACTTGTCCGTCCCTTCCCATTAAAGTAAACACGGTTAATCAGTGCTTCGAGGCAGACATCTTTTCTTTCCTCCACTCCTAGACGACTGAAGATTTCTTAAAAATGAAGAATGAATTTAAGCATATCTTTGTTATGGTTGGGATTTTAAAGCCCTTCTTTTCAGAAGCTTGTGTTATATGCTAGTGTCAGAAGGGACGTGGGGGCATTATTATCTCAAATTTGATCTAAGAAACAAAAAAAAGGTAGTTGTAAAACATTACTTACGTTGTAAAGCCTGGTGCTACAGTCACACGAGGACACAACAGTCTAAGCGCGCGCACACACACACACGTACTGTTACAGATAAGCAATAAAAATGCACAGTTCCACCGTCTCTCATACGCACATTAAGCTGGACGACTACACGCACTGATTAACAGGGTTTGGTCTTCAAGTCTTGACTTCAGTGAGTATTAAAAACTTCAGCTGCTGCAGCTGTTTATCTTCTTCTGCTCCTTCTGTTGGGAAAGCAGCGTGGTTTGACGCAGAGGTCAAGCAGTAACTTCTGGTCCAGTTTTGGAAAGCTTTTGTTTTTTAGCAAATTGTTTTGTTTCATGTACTTCTGTGACGAGGAAAGGGGGGAAGGAAAAACAAAGCATTTTCAGTCAAATGTGTTTGAGCCTCCAAACAGTTTTGTACTGCCTTCAAGTGGAGGAACTGCAGGCTCAGGTGGTTATCCTGTGGTTTGGTGACAGTGTTGGTACCAAGACGCTGCAGGGAGGCTCCGAGGTTCAGGTTTTCTCCCAGGGTGCCTTTATAGTGGCGTCAAATGGAGCTTGAGTTTTGAGGAGCAGCACTAGCGGCCTTTGTTCTTTTTGGCATTTCCCTAAAGAAAAAACACACACACACACACACAAAAAAGTGAGCTCAGTCCTCTAAACTCAAAGCCAGCCATATCCAGGGTTGGTGCAAAAGCTAACGCTCTGTGTTGCATTTCAGTGCAGTGACTAAGACAGACAAAATTCGTATTCCGTTTCAAAAACTGAAAAACATGCTGAGGCTGGTGTGCTGGCCTTCAAGAGAAAAATCGCCACCTTTAGATCACAAACATGCCGGGTCCTGAAACTTCCCAGCATGCAGCCATCCGTGTGCGCACAAGCAGGGGCATGCACGTTTTTTCTTCTTTTTTAAAAAACAGCCCTCTCCTTTACTGCGCCTGTAGCTTAATGGCTTTTTCAGACGTCTGCGGCAGGTGCTTTTCCCATTAAACCTCGCAACAACCGCAACGCCACCGCTGACCTCCCACTTCACCTCATAACTGAGAAACTTTACAATGTCACACTTCACTAGCGGCCGATCCTTCACACTCCACGTGGCCGTATCGCTTCTCTTTCGAGATTTGGAGGGACAGGGTGGTGGTACGGTTTGGTCTGTAAATGTTCAACGAGGAATTACTGTCAGCTTTATTCACGTGCCAAACACATTTGCTTCGCTGACATGAACGCTCACTTTCGTAGAGATCAGGTGACGGATTTCCACTGCGGAATATTCCACTTGTTTACCTTAAAAAACTCCTGTATGTTTTGGGTCACTGTCCATGTGTAGCGTGAAGCACCATCCAATCAACCCTGCTTCATCTGTGTGAATCTGAGCAGAGAGTATAGCTCGATACACTCCGTAATTCACCCAGCTGTTTCTACCTTCTGTCACATCACCAATAAACCATAGTGACCCATCGTTACTGTAAGCCGAGCGTGACCACACCATCACACATTAATGCTTTGAATTATGAGCTGATCCCAGCCCGCCCCGTTACATTCTTCTCCCCTTAATTCTGCTACAAGTTGATTTTAGCTTCATCTGTCCAAAGAATATTGTTCCTGAGCTGGTCGGCCTTTTATAGATGTGTTTTGGCAGTCTAATCTGCACCTTCTACTGTTGTGGCTAATCACCGGTTTGCTCCTTGTGGTGAACCCTTTTACTCTCATTATGGCAGACTTTGAAAACGATACGCCTACCTCCTGGAAGAGTGTTTTTCACTCAGCAGGATGTTTAAAGGCTTTTTTCCTCTGCTTATGGGAATGATCCTGTGACCATCCACCATTTAACCTCTCAAAAATATATCGAACTGTTTATTCGGCTGGTGGATTTGTGTTGTTTTCTCATTGTAACGATGACCTTCTTCACTTGGACCAGCTGACGTTGACCACACATTTTAGTGTTCACAGAAAAGTGCAAATGCCAGCGTGAACTAGAATCAACTCCAGAACTTTAACTTGCTTAATTAATGCCAAATCGAATGTATATACGTAAGCAAAGTCTACACATTAATGTTGTTGCGTTGACATACGCATTCAAATGATATCACCGCCCAAACATTTCAGAAACCTAACTGGAGACTGGCAGCACCTCACAGCTGAGAGCAAACCCTGAGAGGGAACCAACATTTTAAAAAGAAAATATTGCAAAAGAAGCTGGAATTCAAAAGGTTATACCTTGCTGCCCATTTTGAGCGTGTCGATTTCCTCTCGCTGCTTGCTCAAAGTCTCGTTCATGCTGCACAGATGGTCGCTCATCATGCTAAGCTGGTCTTCGTAGCTCCTCTTAGTCGTAGCCAGCTCATCCTGCGTGTCAGGCCCAAACAGTTACAAAGTGAATGCTTTTTGACTTGAAAGGACGCTAATGTTTACGCTTTATGCTATAACTGGAAGCTCTTTGGCAGTGCATCATACCTGCAAGCGTGTGATATTCTGATTAGCCAGTTTGACCTCCTCGCTGAAAGTCTCCCGCGACTTCTCTGCAATGGCTAATCTCTTAGCCAAAGCTCGACACTACAAAGGGAAAGAGAAAAGTAAACAACTTGCTGTGCCCTGATGATTTTAAAGCATGTCTGGCAGGCTTTACAGATCGGTTTCAAAAGCTGCAATAACAGGAAGGATTTCTTTGAAAAGTAGGTTTATTTAAGAAGAGTGTCAAAGTTGCAGGAAATCCACAATATTAGTCTCTGCTGCTAAACCGTCACGTCTAACTCGACATCAGGCGCATTTCTGTTGCTATAATGCCAAACTAAGGCAAGTGACAGTAACTTTAACAAGTCATTTACATCGAGGGTAAGACACAACATATTACTTAAAATATTTAGTGTCGGTTTTTCAGTGGAGATGGTAATAACCCCGACTCGAGAACCATTTTCAAAGCACAAAGAGAATATGTACTTGTAAGGCAAACTAACGGTCTTTCTTACGACACACAGTTACTTTGATAAACAACTTTCAGTAAGATCTTCACCTCAGAGTGAAAGTGCACAGCTTTGCTATCTGAAATCTGGAGTTGGGTGGTGAGCTCTCCTACTCTGGCCATGTAGTGGCTCTTTATCAGCTGCTCCCTAGACTCCTCGTCTCCCACCTGCAAAGTCAGACACAACATCAAGCTACACAAGATTTTGTTGTCCTTGGAGGGAGCATTATTAGATGGGTACAAATTCTGCACTTAAATATTTTAATCAGATGTACGGACACTCACATGCTCATCTGTAGGTGTTGTGCACAACATTCCAACCTGGTGACAAAAAAAAAAGA